CTTTCACGCACTCAGTGCCTAAAAGAATGTCGTTTCAAAACTGAAATGACAATCGAAAAGTTGCTATTATGAAACGTCAGTAGAAAAAATAGTTTTTTCTACAAACGTCACTAAAAGTGTCATTTTTAACGGATGCTGTCAGTGTCTAAAATGCCATTTTATGACACTGGTGTTAAAAGTGATTACTTTTAGTACTAGTGCTAAAAGTAATCACTTTTAGTGCGTTTGTGGAAAAAATAGTGTATGACATTCGTGCTAAAAGTGATTTTATTTTGTTCAAAGGGATGGAACACTCCGCCTTCGGCGTCGTGTCCCAAACTTCCCTTTTCACAAAATAAAATGTCACTTTTAGCACTTATATCATAAATAACTATTTTCTATTTTGGTGTCATATCGCAGTCTTTTCGACACTAAGCCTGGAATTACAAAAGCTCTGCAACACCAAGATACAAATGCAGGACCTGCAAGTCTGACTTTTCGTATTACAGAAGCAGAATGCATTTGCAGGGGGGCTTTATTTGAAATTGATGCAACTTTGCGTATACGCAAATGCCGTTATTTGCGATTGAAAACTGGTGCACGGCTCTTTTGAAATGCACTGCGAGCGATATGACTTTGCACTACTTTGCGGATGGGGGTGTACCGATCGCAAATCTAGCTCGCACACGCAAGTTGTGTTGTCAATTTGTCAATTTATTTCGATTTATTTTAATTTTGATGGTTCACTTCAAATAAGTTCGAATATTGTGGTGATTTTTATAAATAATATATGATTTAATAACGTTATTAACAACAATGGGCTGGCTCGTCTTGAACTAGCGATGGCTTTTAACAAAAACCTCGCAGTAAGGCCGCGATTTTATGCCTTCGTCCTAAGTGACCGGACTTTCGTAAAAAAAATTCGGCTAAATAAAGCTACTTTTGAAGACTTATATGAGGCTTTACAGGGCTATTCAGTGACGCCAAGAAAAGCATCGTGTTTTTGTGCTGCAAAAAAGAGCCATAAGGTATTTGATTGGAGCTAAAATGAGAGATTCATGTAAACCTTTGTTCATAAGACATAAAATTTTAACACTTCCCAGTCTATTTATTTTAGAGACAGTTTGCCTAGTTCATAAAAAATATAGAAATAGCTTGCATGCAACAGGTTTGTATAACACGAGGCAAACTTATAATATAATACTGCCAATACCATCCTCGACACAAATTAAAAATTCTATTATATACAATAGTCGGAAATTATTTAATCACTTACCTGTGGAAATAAGACAAGTGGAAAGCAACAAAATATTTAAAGGGATGGTGAAAAGGTTACTAATTGAGAGGGCTTATTATAACTGTACTGAGTTTTGGAATGATAGATTTTGACTGTATCAATTGATTGGCTCTGCCAATATCATTATTATTATTATTTTTATTTTTATTTTCATGATTTGACTTTTGTAATTTGTGCTTATTGTTTTATACCTGTAGCGCACGTATAATGTATATATATATTTTTTACCGTCATTTTAATTTAATTTGTGTGACATAATTATGTGAGTGATAGGTAGTTGACGTCCGTGACTACTTCTAAGTTTTATTTTTATTTTTTGTTTGTTTTTGCCTCAGTTTTTACAATTCTTTGTGTTGGTTTCGATTGTCGTGGATCATTTTTTGAAATTTTTATCCTTTTTATGATAGATAGATAATAGATAATTTTAATTGTTTTATTAGGTTTAAGGCCTGCTTTGTCTATGACATTATTTGTTTTTTTGGCAATAAAGCTTATTTGATTTGATTTGCATCTTCCACCGAGCACCGTATAATACCGCTGAGGCTTTTGCAACATTTTTTTACTCTACTTTTTGGTAAAGGTTGAGGCGTTCTCTGACAAACTGGACAAGAAGCCTTTTTCCCTCCGCATCTGCGTTTGCGGAGCTCTTTTTACTATCTACAGGAATAGGGCTTGGTGAAATAATATTGGTGTCATATCGAAGTCTTTTCGACACTAAAAGTAGTTTCGAAAAGAAGCTCTTTATGACACTCCTTTTTTACTTATCGGAGGTTGGTAATACTGGCTGACTGATGGCCATCGAACTGTCATTCGCCATAAAAAATAATAGAAGTTTTCTATATTTGGCATGTAGTGTTACCAACCTAAACATATGAAATCAGGAAATATGAGAATAAAATTTCCAAGAAAAGTTTTTTTTTTTTTTTAAATTAAACAATACCAAAATAGAAAAAATAGTATAAAATATTCGTTTCATAAGACATTTTATCGCACTCGCCCTTTAGAAAACTCACCTCCGGCTCGTTTTCTAATATAGGGCTCGTGCGATAAAATGACGTCTTATGAAACTTGTATTTTAATGTACTATTCTGAAATGTCTTCCAGCTAAAACTAGTAGGTACAAGATGTAAAATTATTTATTACAGTATGGCATCATTATATTCAGTTTGTTTTTATACAGAAACGAGTTAAATAGGCTCATAAAAAAAGCAAAAAATGACTTCTATCAAAATCAGATTCAAAATAATAAACACGATCTTAAAAAAATTTACCGAATAATTTCAGAAGCTACAAATGAGAAAACTCGCTCAGAAAATTCATTGCACCTCATTAATGATGAGGGTCTCCTTTTAACAGACAATAATCAGGTGGCAAATCACTGTAATAATTACTTTATTAATGTTGGGTTGAATATGTCAAAAAAAATTGAACCTCCAGTGAACTTTTCTGAGAGACACATTTCAAACGCAGATTCGATGTTTTTGAATCCTGTAACAGAGAATGAAATAATAAAACAAATATCCACGTTAAAAAACTCCTGTGCTCCTGGTATTGACGGAATTACTACTGAAATGATAAAGGATAATCATCAATATATTCTAAAGCCCCTCGTTCATATAATTAATCTAATTTTTACTAAAGGAATTGTTCCAACACAGTTTAAAACTTCTATCGTAACCCCTATTCATAAGGCTGGTGATAAAAAAAAGATTAGTAACTATAGGCCAATAAGTGTGATGAGCAATTTTGGAAAAATTTTTGAGAAGTGCCTAAAAGTCCGTCTGGTATCATTTTTGAATAGGTACAATATTTTGCACGAGTGCCAATTTGGCTTTCGCGATGGCAAATCTACAAGTGATGCCATGTATTCTGTTTTATTAGAAGTACTGGAATGTTTAGACACAAACAAGAAATGCATCTCTGTTTTCCTTGATTTGGCGAAGGCGTTCGATACTGTTAACCACGCTAGACTTATTAGTACTCTAGAGCGCTCTGGGATACGTGGCTTGGTGTTGGATGTCTTTCGGAGCTATTTGACAGATAGAATGCAGTATGTCAGGATCGGTGATGCACTTAGTAATCCAGAAAATATTAAAATAGGCGTTCCCCAGGGAACAGTCCTTGGACCCATACTCTTTTTGCTTTATATCAATTCATTGTTATCTGTTATTACTGACGTAAAAATTGTTGCATACGCAGACGATACAGTGGTAACATTTAAGGGTGCAACATGGGAGGAAGCCAAGTTGGCTGTGCAAATGGGCATGGAAAAAATTAAAAATTGGCTAAACTTCAACTATTTGTCGCTAAACGTTGATAAAACACACTATCTTGCCTATACTCTATCAGATGCTAACAAGCCAGAGTATAATAGTATCAGTGTTCAGGGCATGGATGAGCATATCGAGGAGGTGAGTGAGATTAAGTACTTGGGCATAATTTTAGATAGGAATTTGAAATGGACGAGTCATGTGAACTACCTTACAAAAAGAGTGAGAAAGCTTATCTACAAATTTTATCAGATGCGTGATTTTCTTTCAGGGAGTTTACTTTTATTAATTTACAAATCTCTTGCTGAATCACTGTTTTGTTATGGCATTTTGGTTTGGGGAGGAATGTATGGTAACGCACTGCAAAAACTGAATGTAATTCAAAACTACATATTGAAGATAATTTATAGAAAACAAAGAAGATATACTACTAGTCTGCTCTATACAGAGGAGGTATGTAATATTCGCACCTTATACTTTCATAAAATATGTATCCATGCATTCAAAAATTTCCCTACTCAAATTCAATGTAACTCTGTGTATCAGACTCGTAGTACATCGAATGAGTTATTGTCAACTCGTAGATTTAATAAAGGTATTTCCCATAGATTCTTCATTTATACTGTCCCTAAAGCTTTCAATATATTGCCAATGGAGATCAGAAAAATCCAGAAATATAAATTATTTGCAAGGGAATCGAAAAAATATATTTTTCATAATTTGATAGCATTTGATAAAATTTTGAATTAAGTAGTAGTAGTAGTACCAACCAACCTAAGCTACTGACTTTCTGTTTTCTTTTAGGTATATTGCACATTATGTATATTATGTACACTTCACTGTATTGTAATTGTAACTATAAATTAACCATTCTTAGGTATAATAAATTTGTAATCTAGTTTATAATCTCAGCACAACACAAGTGTTAAATCACTTAGGTGCTTTTTGAAGAAAAAAAAAAAAGATGTATTGTACTTCACATTGAATATTTATATACCCATTGTATACCTCTGTAGTGTGAAATAAATAAATAAATAAATACCATTCTACCCAAAAAAGATGAAGACTGTCACACTTGCACTAAGATGTGACCCAAAAACAATAATGAAGAAACGAACTGTTACAGTATGGCATTTCCGTTTTTTGAAAGTTTAAAAGAGAATATGCTTGGGAAAAATTATGCCATATCCTCGGCCATACCTTTCTGGTGGTGCTTATACTGCCCGATTGTTAGAAATAATTATAACGGAACTGATGGTTGGAATTAAACTATTATTATTCAGAAAATTTGGAACTTGTAGGAGAGTAACGCTTTCCATGACTCTGGACAAAAGCAGAAGCAAATTAATTGAGTGCAAATCAGTGACATAAAGAATTTGAAGCCTACAAGGAAGCCTTATACTCTAATTTAATTTGCCCTAGTTGAGTTGCTAAACTAAAAACAATGTACTTACAGCAACGACTATTTTGCTGGAATCTGGTTTCCATTCTGCTGTAATGTTTGTTCCAAACTTCTCTAGAGATTGAGCATTTCTTCGATGATAAACTATTGGCACACAAGGCTGAAACATCCAACATTCTATTTGAAAATTGCTCAAATGAAAGGCTCAAAATTGTACTCACTTTACAAAACCATATTGCTAGAGAGTCGTCTGTTAAAATAGCCACTAAAATCCGGTCTCTGTTGCATTTGATCTGTTTCAACGAGCCCCCCTGACCTGAATCAGAAACTTGTACGACTTTCGGCCACCCAATTGGAAAATACATGCTTGCAAAGCTAATCACTTTTAACTCATAACTATTGACAATGATTATTGGTAGCTGGTTTTTTAATTAATTCATTTAATTCCTTGATTTTGATCTTTTTTTTAAAAAAACAACAAAACTTTCATAAAAAATTGTTTTTGTCATGTTGTCAAAATTGAATATGTCAAGAAACGTCAACGTCAAATGGAAATAATAGCGATTTCGTATTTGTAGGATTAGAGCAGAGCAAAAAAAATCCATCCTTATCCTTATATTTTACATGCTTTTAGAAAAAGATGCAGATACACTCAGTGCACACTGATTTTCTAACCTCAGTTTTCCTTATTTTCCTAGCATTTGAAAAAGTGAAAAAAGCTCCTTGCTTGTTTTGTATTTTTCCTGTGATTTCCACTATTTTTCTGTGAAAATCAGTAAAAAGAACAGTTTCTGAACAATATAAAGTGGAAATCTTTTTGGTGAGCCTAACTTTTTTACTTAATATTTTCTATACTATTAGCTGTACTTAGATTAGTGTAGAACTCGAGGTAGAACTGTTGAGTAGGTATCCTTAACTCTGTTTTGTCTATGGACTTGTCCTCTCCTAAATTCAAAAATCTTGGAACAAAAATTTTCAAAATCTTGTTTTTAAATTAGATTTCTGCTTCAAGGCAAGGTGCTCTTGCCTCTTTAACATATACTTAGATTTAACTCAAACCTCGACTCAAACATTTAGTAATCCTATTATCTGAAGGAACTGGTATATAAAATCGAAGGTAAAATGTTGGTTCAGAAGCATTGAATAAAATAACATGTGGAAGACCCCAGACTTTCTCACAACTTTGTTGGTTTGGTTTGAGTCGCTTTCTTCCAATGTTATTTCGTCTATGAAAAACGAGTATGGCAAATATCATGATTACATGATTTATTTATATCAGGATTTATACAGGGACAGTTACTAAATGCGCGGTGGTCCATATCTCCTATACTAACGAAGATCAAAGAAAAAACTGAATACAAAACTTGTAGATAAACATGAGTACTCTGTACCTATGGTTCATTTTTTTCCAAGATAGATTTTGGCATTGTCAACTTTGAAACATAAACAATGCCGCTAATGCCGCTTATTGGTCGCTATTGTAAACCTGATGTCAACCTGCAGAAACACCTCATTTTGCGACCAATCAGGGTCAAGCGTTATTGTTTATGTTTCAAAGTTTTCAATGTCAAAATCTATCTTGGAAAAAAATAAAGTGTACATTCCTAAATTATTTTCCAGTATACAGGTTAGCCCAATAACTAGTAGTGACACAAAGTTATGTTTTTTTTTAATGACTCCCCCTGTATATTATGACATTTCTGGATTATGCGAAAAATTATAGACATACTTCATGTACAATGTCATATACTTATCTTCAACTGTTTCGGAAATATTGACAGTTGAAAACTGACTTTTTTGCATCTTTGACAGACCGTAAAACCTGAACGGTTAATTTTACAAGAAATCGTATTTTTACATTCCTATCTTAGTTTTTCATAAACTATCATGTGACACCAATCTTTGAATTTAACCGAAGATTAATAATTTAGGCGGAATTTTTAATCATGGATTAAATTAAAGATTGGTGTCACATGATAGTTTATGAAAAACTAAGATAGGAATGTAATGGCCATTTCCACCAACTAATTTAGGAAAGCCCTAACGATGATAGCTTATTAAAATCTAATGCCCGTATTACATCTGTGTATTTTTCCGTGTATTTATTCATATAGTTCAGGCTGCCAACATTATTTTATTTTTCATAATGCTGATTTATGTTGCGTTTAACGTTTTTCGGTTGTCACCCTAAACTACGTGAATAAATACACGGAAAAATACACAGATGTAATACGGGCATAAGATAGGAATAGAAAATCCGTTTTCCACTAAAATTAACCGTTTAGGTTTCACAGTCTGTCAAAGTTGCAAAAAAGTCAATTTTCAACTGTCAATATTTCCGAAACAGTTGAAGATAGGTATATGACATTGTGCATGAAATATGTCTAGAATTTTCTGCAGAATCCAGAAAAGTCATAATATACAGGGGGAGTTATTTGAAAAAAACATAACTTTTTATCACTACCAGCTATTGGGCCACCCTGTATACTGGAAAATAATTTAGGAATGTAGTACTCATGTTTATCTACAAGTTTTGTATTTAGTTTTTTCTTCGATCTCCATTAGTATAAGAGATATGAAGGACCCCGTGCTTAGTAACTCACCCTGTATAAGTATGAAAATGTCAGATATATGTACAGGGTGTCAAATTATTTTATAGTGAGTTTTGGCATAAAAGCCAATATTTTTCTCTGAGCATTTGTACTTTATCTATATTTTGAACAACAGATGAATATAAATATAAGATATTGCTGCTTCTTTTAAATGCTGTAAAAATAAAGAGCATTCTAATTATTTCTGTTTGGTATGTAAAAAGCGGCGTTTCCACAAGCATAGTTTATTGGTGCCAGTGCAAGTTCCAGTTTGCTGGCGTAATAATAGTGGCGCCAGTATCTGTTTCCACTTGATATCAGAAACTTTTAACTGACGCAGTAGAAAAATGGAGTCAACTGAAGGGATTCGAGCAGGTTTCAATGTTGATATAAAAATTTTGTTGCTAGAATTGCAGTAGATACGAAAAAACAAGAAGAAGGGACGTAGACACAAGATCTGGTACGAGTAGTACGAAAATGGATTTCACGCAGAAAAGCTCTAAAAGCATCAAATAATTTACCATCTTGAGTTAGCGGATGAAGACCATGAAGCATATCTACTGCTTCCTATTATACTTTTCTTTCAGCAGTGGTAATATCAAAACCACTTATGAACCCGAACTCGGACATTACCTCAGCACTTATCCTTATAGCATCATCCCGTTTATTACTGTCTTTCTAACACAAAAGTCTGTGATCCCACAAACAGGGATGCTCTTCATAAACTTCCAAAAACTTTGGCTACGTTCACCAGAACTGAAACAAGTTGTAAACAGTTCACAAATACCAACAGAATATGTTGGGCAAACTCTTGGTTCTGCTGAACGATTCAACTTTTCAATAATAGAACGTCACCCTCTGAATGTCATGTCACCACACAAAACACTACACCTTTTTCAATTGTAATTCAGAAAATAAAACTTTAATTTCAGAGAAGGGAACATGTATTTCAGAATAGGAACTTATAATTCAGAAAAGAGAAATTGAATTTGAGAATTGTAACTTTAATTTCAGAATAGGGAAAATGAAATTCAGATTAGGAAGTTGAAATTCAGAAAAGCAAATATTGTAATTCAGAATAGTAAATTGAAATTCAGAAACTGTAAATTATAATTTAGATAAGGGAAATTGTATTTCAGAAGGTGAAAATCTCGGTGAAAATTTAATTTCAAATAATGGAATTTGTAATTCTGAAAAGTATAATATGCACCTCACGATAAGCTATGTACAGAGATACAGAGCAGAGCACAGGTACATACAGATAGTGAGAGAACCACCCAACACCCAACCACCTTCCATGCCGTGCCGCTAGCATTAAAGGATATGCCAGTTGGACAGTAACTGAAATTTTGAATTGCATTTGAGGAAATTAAGTTATCAACATACTTTTTGGTAATTTTTTTAGAGGTATGTTATTATCTGCTTATGTATATGTAACTGAATAAAAATTGAATTTGTATGAATACGATTTTTGTATTTGGATTCGCAAAGAACATTTTTATGTAAAACTGTACAAATGATAATTTAATAAACGCAAGTAGCAGTCCCGTGTTCAGCGACACAAGATTAAAAGTTGAAAAAAAAAAAAAAACGCTCATAGATATTTCATGATTCTGAATTACATTTTCCTATTTCTGATTTTCAAAATTGCATATCTGAATTACAATTTACATTTTCTGGAATTAAATTTCCCCTTTCTGAATCACATATTCCTATTCTGAATTACAAATTCCCATTTCTGAATATTATGTTCCTTTTCTGAATTTCAAATTCCATATTCTGAATAATAACTTCCTATTCTGAATTACATTTTCCATTTTCTGAAACTTAATTTCCCTTTCTCAAATACATTTTACGCTTTCTGAATTACAATCGGAAAAGGTGTAGTGTTGAAAATTATAAACACTTTTAATTTATGCTTGCAAAAATGGCGATCGTTTGCAAAACATGTTTGGTTTCAACACAAATTCAACGTAGCGTTCAGCAGAACAATCGCAATGCGTTTACCAACGTTTGTATCTGGTGAACGTGGCCATATAATAATATGTTCCATTTTTGAAGTTCACTTGACATTTCCATTATTTTTTTGAGAACGACTAGTGAAAATGTATGTATTTTTTTTGACAAACTTGCGCACATGGCAAACTGGCGCCAAAAAGTAGACCTGCATTCTACTTTACTGGCGCATAGATAAGTGGCACCAGTTAACTGGCGCCAGTTAATTTTCCGAGATTCCACGCGCCAGAAAAATTACGCCAGTCGACTAGCGCCAATAAACTATGCATGTGGAAACGCCGCTTAAGGCATAGAAGTTGTTGGAATATAATAAAAAATTATACTGTAATACGCGATAACCTAATATGGTGCTCCAAGGAATGTATAGACAATGCTCAAGAACATGACCTGGAGACAACCGAGAAACTAAGATCTCTTATAAACGAGATGCTAAAAGAATTGGAAGCCAAAACAAATTGCATAAACAAATTGAAGCATATCTCAGTCTTTTTTTGAGGAGACTACTTCAGCTGAAAAGCAACTCTTCATATTATTGGTGACCTAAAAGCTGTCAATTCCAAACTTGAAAAGACCTTAGGGTGAACAAAGGAGATAGGTAGTTAAACAACGACTATGCACAAGCTGATAAGAAACCAAGAGGAGACAGTCACTCTCAAACTAACAGCACAGCTTTTGATATCAATTGTATAGCCAATCTAAAAGAAGAACTGTCTTGCCTGCAGCAAATTTAATGGGAACTGGAAAGTAGGATTTACTCAGTTGAAGAGGAATGTTCTAAACTCAAAATGAGGTTTGAAGACCTGAAACAAACAAGTAATGACATGTTAAATTCTGTACAGACTTTGGAACATGACAATCGAGCCCTCCGAAGGAAAAAATTCTTATTTTAGGTGATAGTTTAAGCAAATAACATTAGAAAAAATTTGTCTAGGCATTTGAATTATAATCTTGATATTTCCTCAGTTATAAAACCTAATGCTTTGATGGGTAATGTTGTATTGGACATTTTGAAATTGGCAAAAAATTTTTATACAAATCATTATGTTGTTATTATGGGGGGTAGTGTAAATCTTCTGAATGGTATTGGGGTTGAAGTAGAAACAATTGAGAAACTTAGAATTAATAACAGGTACACCAATCTAATTCTTTTTTCAGTTCCACTCTGGAGCGACAACAAACTTTTAAATAAATGTATAGATGAGCATAACAAAATGATGTACGATCAAGTTTTTTCTAAACAGAATGGTTCACAGTTTCTGCACTTCAACGCCTGTTGTTAGATCCGAGTTTTTCTATAGGTATGGTTTGTTTATTGCATATAGTGGTAAAAACTTAAGTCGCACATAAATTGAAAAATGTAATATCAAATCATCAAAAAAAATAATGTAGCAGAAAGATTGGCTGGTAGAAATAATGCTGCTGAATCCAATAACGAGATGTTTTTGTTGCCTTCTGAGCCCAAGGTTGAGACATTCAATAGTAATATGAATGGTCCTTAGTTCAATTTTGTGTAATAATGTTATAATGGATCCGTCAAATAATTCAAACTATTCAATTTTTCTGCAGGACGAAACACCCCCGGACGAAACACCCCCAAAAGTGTTATGAACAAAATTGCAATATCCTATCAAAGTTATAGAGGCATTAAAAACCAGGCTCGATATTTTAAAGTGTAATTTATTGAGTAATGATACTGATTTAATAGCTCTTACTGGAACGTGGCTGAATACTTCAATATATGTATAGTGTGATTTTTTAATTGTGAAACATATGGGGATTTTTTTTAGTAATAGCACAACCCAAATACAAACATGGCCAAAAGTTGGTGCATGTCTGATAATCATATTAGGTGTACTTAGAATGGTTGCAAGTCAAACAGCATACAGGGTAGCTCAAACAATATTAAAGCTCTACTGTAAAGTACCCTTATTTTAGAAAATTCAGTAAAATGTTATAGAGAAAAGTTGTTTGGAATTAAAAGTTATGCCTAAATACCAAAACATAGCCTCCTAAGATTTTTTTTATTTTCTTTCGAAAAAAATCTATAATTTCTACTTTTTTTTTAATTAATTAAAATCAAACCAATTTTACATAACTTTGTTCAAATTCAAGCATATTTGTAAAATTAAGTTAGATTTTTAATTTTTTATGGAATCACAAAATTCATGTTTGTTGCAATGATATTCAACACAACTTTAAAATGTCGCTATTTTTTTTTTAACAAGTTAAAACATTGCTAATGATAATAGCCATATTTAAAAAACTCTCCCTAAAGTGCAAAAGTTTTATTTATTTAAGTAAATATTAGTAGCATTTTGATATTTTTTGAGCCACCCTGTATGCTGTTTGACTTGCAACTATTCTAAGTGCACCTAATATGATTATCAGACATGCACCAACTTTTGGCCTTGTTTGTATTTTGATTGTGCTATTACTAAAAAAAAATCCCATATGTTGCACACTTAAGAAATGACACTGTATAGTTCAGAATTTAACTGTAACAGATCTATTTTTAGAAAAGACAAAAATTATGAGCTGACAGGCAAAAAACAAGGGGGTGGTATTCTTCTTGCAGTTAAAGATGGTCTTGTAGCTTACGATTATGATATTTTCGATAATGATCTAGAGAGGTTGTGTGTAAAAATTAATTTTGTCCATAGAACAGTTGTGTGTGGTAGTTGTATACTTTGTACCTGGTAGCAATCTTAATTCATATGAAAAATTCTGTGATTGTATTGAGACAGGACTTGTTAATTGTGACGGCATTATTGTAGGCGATTTTAATCTTTGTAAATGATGTACCCAATGAGTTTATTTGTGATTTTAAAAGTTTTTCAGCCTTTTCAAGTTTCGTACAGATTAATATTATAAGAAATATACACAATGTACTCTTAGATTTAGTACTGGTTAGCCCCCATATACAGAGTGGTAAGGTAAATATTGATGATGATCCTTTGTTGCCTGTTGATCAGTATCACCCTGAATTTATTGCAAGATTTGACTGTGATAATGAATGTAGTGTATGTGAGCAGTTAACAAATACTCAAAAAAGCAAATTTTAACCTTATGTATAGTTTTATTTTAATTCAGGAATGGGAGAGTCTTTATGTATGTACTTGTGTTAATGAGGTGCTAAGTAAGTTCCATGATATTATGCATGCTGTATTTATTAAATGTGTTCCTTTGTCAACGTAACTTGGTCGAACATTTCCTGTTTGGTATAATGAGAAAATCATAAAACTACTAAAATACAAGGAAACCTATTTAAGAAAGTTCAAATCTACCTCGTCTTCTTATCGGCAAAGTAAATATAGGAATATTAGAATCCTAATTAAGAAGAGAATTAAATTGGCCTATACTAAATACTTACAATAGAGTAGAAGAGAGTCTGAATGAGAATCCAACAAAAGGATGACTCTGATATTCCTGCTGAGGTGAATTACGATAATATCCTGTTCTCTGGTGCAAATAATATTGCAGACGTGTTCACAGTGTTTTTCAGTAGTGTTTTTTCCCCTCTCGACTGCTTTGGGAGTAATTCATTTGAGGATCATTTTTGTGATTTGCCTTTCACAGAGGAAGACGTCCTTACCGCGCTTAAAAAGTGAAAGGGTAATAGAGCTATTGGGCCGGATGGTCTGCCAGGTTATATTATTATGGGATGTGGTGAATTGTTACTACAACCTTTGATGCGGGCTTTGATGTATATTTTTTATAGTTTTAAGACTTCTTCTTACCCCAAGGTGTGGTGAATGAGCAAGGTTATCCTGATATTTAAAAGTGGAACTCGACGGGACATTGTCAATTACAGACCTATTTCCATAGTTAATTCAGTTTCCAAGTTTTGAAATAGGTAATCCTTTTCATTAGGATTTATGACCAGGTTAAATTTGATCTTAGTGAGTCCCAACAAATGGTTTTAAGCTTAACATTAAAAAGTGCTCCTCTATGTCTTTTTCTTTAAAGAAAAATGTTATTATTAAGGAATTTACTATTGATGAAGAGGTATTAGTAACCAACTCGGTTCAAAAGGATTTAGGAGTATGTTTTTTTTTTGAAAGGGTTTGGCTTCTACCCTACTCGGGGATATAACCACAATAGACTTTTGAATTTGTTTAATAGACTCTCCTTCGAGAAAAGGTGGATAAAAATATTCCTCATTTACATTTATAAACTTATAAATAATAATATAAATAGTCCTCACATTTTATCTCAGCTCCCATTTTCAATAAATCGTGTCTACACCCGACAGAGAAATATATTTTATTTGGACTTTCCTAGGACGAATTTGTATAGAAATTCTCCAGTTTACCATATGTGCAATTGTTTTAACATTTATGCAAGTGACATGGATATAAATAAACCCTGTCACTTTAGGACAATTTACTAAAATTATAAGTGAGAAACTATTTATTTCCCAGGCACAGGAGTAGACAAGTTTGTTTTATTGTTACATTGTATGGTATAATTTTGGTTTTTCGAAAGGATTTTTGCTTGTGAAACCTCCGAGGAAACCTCATATACCTAACCTCATACTTATTAAAATATTGGAGAGCATGGAATGTTTTATTCAAAATAAATACTAATTTCTTATGTTTCGAATAAATAAAATAAGACTCATCATGTTATAACTAGATTTGTGATTTAGTTTTAATACAATTTAAATTGAGTTCATTTTAAACTGCAACGCATTATCTACTCCAGTTTTTTAAATGCTAATCACCATACCAAATTTATATTCCCTTTTTTTCCAAGGCTAATGATCAAACATCGCCCATTTTGAAATTTAAATTAATTGGATTATATTCGAGCTAAACTGCCAATTAACATAAATTTTGATTCACTAATGTCAAGGTCAAGTGTGCATATGACATATTTTTGAACCAAAAATTCTCTATATTTTTTTTTTGTTTCAGATATGGTTCCACGCTGAAATCTACTAAACAATAAAATTCGAAAATGTTCACCACAAAATCCTTCATCAAGAAGAACAAAATCGGCAATTTCCTCAAAAACGTCCGAGAACATTACATCAGAGACGATATTTCTTGTGGAGTCCCCAATTGCACCAAATGCAAAGCTGAAGCCTCTAGTTTCTTATCTGAAACCCACATTAATAAATGTTCCCTCTACAATTTCAATCATTTTGTCATTCTGGACACAAATATAATCTTAGATCAAATGGACGTTTTGGAAGAACCAGTAATTTCTAATGTTATCATTTTGCATACTGTATACAAAGAAGTTAAAAACAGGAGTTTGCCTATTTACAAAAGATTAAATGCTATATTAGATAACCCTAGCAGGCATTTTTATGTTTTCATCAATGATCATCATCAGGACACATTCATTCCTGAAGAAGACAGCATATTAATCAATGATCATAACGATAGATGTATCAGAGCAGCTACTTCCTGGTACATCAAACATCTTCCAGCTAACCATTTTGTTCTTATAACAGATGACAACAAAAACAGGCAATTGGCAATTGCAGGCCAAATACCAGCTTGCACTATTGCAGAATATGTAAAACATCTTGAAAATAAGTCTCTTTTAGAAGACAAGCTTTCACGGAAAGATTTCCACACTGAATCAAAAGGCAAAGAAATTTTTCCTCCTCACTTATCCACTGCACAATTACTTAATGGCATTAAGCAAGGTATATTGCATCAAGGAACTTTCAGAGCTTCAAAGGATAACTTTTTAGAAGGCTTTATTAATGTAGAAGGATTTACAGATCCTGTTTTGGTTCAAGGTAGAAGCGGTTTAAATAGGGCCGTTGATGGAGACATTGTTGCCATTGAAATATTTAAAAAAGAACAGTGGGTTAGTCCTAGTGAAATTATCTTGGAAGATGATGGAGTTTCTGAAGAACAAATTGAAGATGTTGAAGAAAAAGAAAAAGTATTGAAAAATACTACTGTGCAAGACTCTGAAATAAAACCAACTGGAAAAGTGGTTGGTATAATTAGAAGAAAATGGAAACAGTATTGTGGTATTCTACAAGGTAATTCCGATGGAGTTTATCAAATTTTTGTACCAGCAAATAGATCGATACCAAAAGTTAGAATAGAAACCAGACAAGCAGATTTTCTCAAAACTCAAAAACTTATTGTCACCATAGATGCTTGGCCTAGACATTCACGCTATCCACATGGACATTTTGTAAGAGCTTTAGGCCGCATTGGAAGCCAAGACACAGAAAATGAAGTTGTACTTTTAGAACACGATGTCCCTCACAGTCAATTTTCAGAAGAAGTTTTGAGTTGTTTACCAAAACTTCCTTGGATTATTACCGAGGAAGATGAGAAGCGCAGAGTGGATTTGCGCGATATTGATATTTGCTCTGTAGATCCTCCAGGATGTACTGATATCGATGATGCATTACATTGTCGTCCCATCAAAGATGGTAAATTAGAAGTTGGAGTTCACATAGCAGATGTGTCTCACTTTATTAGACCTGGCACAGCAATTGATCTTGAAGCCGCTTCAAGAGCCACAACCGTATATTTAGTTGGCAAACGTATCGATATGGTTCCAGAACTTTTGAGCTCAAATTTGTGCTCCCTTAGAGGTGGAGAAGAAAGATTTGCCTTTTCATGCGTATGGGAAATGGACCAGAATGCCAATATTTTGAAGACTAGATTTCATAAAAGTATAATAAGGTCTAGAAGAGCTATGACATATGAAGAAGCTCAGATTACTATTGATGATAAAACTCAAACCGATTCTATAGCAGAGTCATTGAGGAATCTTAATATGTTGGCTAAAATTTTGAAAAGGAGACGCAGAGAAAATGGGGCTTTAGTTTTGGCTTCTACTGAAGTTAAAATCTTAATGGATTCAGAAACAATGGAGCCTCTTGATGTGGAAGTGAAAAAAATGTATGAAACCAATTCAATGGTTGAGGAATTTATGTTGTTAGCTAACATAAGTGTTGCTGAAAAAATTTTGGACGATTTTCCTGATTGTGCCATGTTGAGACGTCACCCTACACCACCAGCTACTAATTTCGATCCATTGGTTAAAGCAGGAAGACATTTGGGCTTCGATATTCAAATAGATTGTGGCAAAAATTTAGCTGAATCCTTAGATAATGCTGTTAAAGCAGATAATCCTTATTTGAATACAATGTTGAGGATGTTAGCTACAAGATGCATGTTACAAGCTGTATATTTCCCTAGTGGAACTTTGCAAAAAGAAGATTTTTACCATTATGGTCTCGCAGTGCCTTTGTACACTCATTTTACATCTCCTATTCGTCGTTATGCAGATATAATTGTTCATAGATTGTTAGCCGTGACTTGTGCAGCTGATAGTACTTATCCAGATTTATTAGACAAACAAAAATCTTCAGAGTTGTGTCAGAATTTGAATTACAGAAACAGGATGGCGCAATATGCTGGAAGAGCTTCTGTTGCGTTCAATACTCATCTGTTTTTCAAAGGAAAACTTAACGACGAGCAAGGGTATATTTTGTATGTCAGGAAAAATGCTTTGCAAATTTTGATACCTAAATATGGCCTAGAGTGTACGATGTACTTGGTAAAGAAAGGGGAGACTTCAATATTTGAGTACGACGAGGAGACTATCACGCAAAAAGCTGGAGATGTTGTTTTCCATACTTTCGATCCAGTGCTGATTCGCTTAAAATTAGATTCGAGCAATATCCAGCATGAGAAATTCACAGTTCAATTAGTGGAACCTCATATTCCAGGATTTAGTGTATCGCCTTTAGCAGAATTGCAAGAGGGCATGAATGAAGAAGGCGCAAAGCCTGTCAATGAAAGGAAAAGGAAAAGTGAAGAAACAAAGAAAAATAAGAAAAATAAAAAATGAGTTTACTTGATAGTTTTTTTATGTTGTTGACTTCATTAAAGTTCTTTTTTATTCAAATAATAGTTGTTTTAGTTACAAATAAACATGGAACTTTTTCAAGATTATATTTTTTGGTGTGAATTTCGCTCAACGTAACTTTTGGATGCTTCTGTATAGTTTTTGGACCTGAATATGTTAATTCCACCTGCCTAAGGAGTAAGCATCCATATAGAAATTAGATGGCAACATCGATTCTGGGCCAATAACAGGTGAGGTGCATTTAAATTTTTACATAAACTTTTATCAACCTAGGCACAAGCTGTTTTATGTACTTTGTCAAATATTTATTGAAAAAGAATACATAAAAAAATCATATTACTACATGTTTTTTGTTTAACAAAATTTGCAAAACTAAAAGAAAAAAATCTGAAACACTTAATTTACCTCACAGCCTTTGCACAATAGTTTCGTCTCATTCTTATCATACAATTTTCAGTTGACTTACAGTAGTATACACAACAATCCACACAATTAAAAGCACTATTACCGAAATGAAAAAGTAAGTTTTTTTCTGGTTCCAGGGACTGCTATTGGCTAAATCTGGAGGCTGGTATTGTTGTCTTGCTCTTCTGCATACTTCTGGAGTACAGGTATTAGTTGAAGCTTTAATGTTGCCATTGATTATTGTGACTTTGTTCAATTCCGTACCGGCTTCTGTTTCTTTGTAGGATTTATTTTCCATCTGCAACAAGAGAAAATGGGAATTAGAATGTGTAGTTTCAATTTGTTGGTTCTTTTTCATTGGACTAATAATTCTTTCTCAGAGATTGTTAATAAGAATTATTGTCGAAAATGAGACTGTAGCTTGTTTGTGTTATTACAGCTTCCGTTTGGAAATTAAATTTTATCTTAAGTGGTTTGTGTTGATGAATTATTTTAACTTGTTTGGGATTTCAATAGTGATAATGATTACCTATGCTTAACAAATTATCTGTAAAAAAACTGTCTTTAGTTTACTTACCAATTTCATCTTCTGCTCGTTCGTATTTTCCATTTTTGAAAATTAAACAATATTTTAGCACAAAATAATTATTCTTTTATGAAACTATACTGGTGACTGATGAACGCTTACTGTTATAGTTTGCCGATAAGACAAGCAGTCATTACAAAGGTATTTCGACACTATCAAAAACCTCATTGAATTGCTTTAAGATAAAGATTGTTTATAAATTAAAGCAATTTCAGCAACTTCGACACATTTCACAGATTGAATCAAACAGTATAGCTAGTTTTTTGGCCCAAATGTTGTAATAAGCATTATTATAGAATTAAAGGTACTTACATTAAACATTTTGTACATGATTTAATATTATATACTCAACCACCATAAAAACAATATGTTTAGTTATTATTGGCAATCGTAGACATATATATATATATATAAACCGAAATATTCAATAATGAGATAACGGAAAAACCACCAAATAGATAATAAAAACCACTGTTTTTAGTTATTGTTTGCTTCTTATTTTTAATGTATTGATGTTTGTTGCCTTTACAACTATACTAAAAAGTATTGACTTGCAATAAACGCATTAAACCAACGGACGAGTTATCATCCATATTCAAAATGCAAATCGTTTTAAATGAGCTTATCAACTCTGTACTAAAAGGTGCGATTATGAGAATTTACATAGTGAATAATGGAATATTTTTAATATCCATGATTATTTTGTTGTTGCCGTGACTTTATTAAGTTACCTTCAAAAAAAATATACACAAAAATTTCTAGTGAAAAATATCTTACACTAGCATCGTAAGGCTTATCATCTTTCCCATTTGGATTATCCCCTGCCATATTAAACAACACAGACTGGACACAAATATTCCGACTCCACTAAACCCAACTAACAACAATCATGCAATAAACGTTCGACATTATTTAATAAACGTTGTGTAAGGTAGAGGTAATAATGTTTGGCTTTGCGGTCACTTAATTCTGGGTGTTTGTTGAATTTATCAGTTCAAAGCTTTCACTTAGTTCAATGAACAAAAAACGTCTGAAATGTGGGTCGATAATAATTATTCAGATTGATTTATTGACCTTATTGTTTCTGGTTTTATAGATTTTGTTACTACAATCAGGGTAAACTTATGTTGGACGTGGAAGCAAAAGCACAAAAGTTTGTTGTTTGAAGTAAACTCTTTTACTTCTATCCCCAGTTTATTTTGAGTGAAATTGATTTAGTTTATGTGAATTTTTTTTTCTAGAATTGGTCGAAATGTCTATAATTTTCCCTTCTTGATTATTCGCAGAACAGATTTTGCGCCTCAATGCGTTTTTGTAGTTAAGGAACATCCTGATTCCTATTCTTGGTAGCCTTTGAAGTCTGTCAAACTGATCTCTCTTATCCTATCTATTTGGTTCATTCTCTCTTGAACAAAATAAGGTCCACTGGAGTTGATTATCTGCATCTCTCCTCTGGTATGCAGGATGTCTTTTGATTCAGCCCGCGTTGACATAGTCCTTAACTTCCGTCCCCTCATCGTTTGGTGACCATTACCTGGATAGTCAAAGTTCTCTTTATCTCATAGAACTGTTTAACCATCTTCTAAAAAAGAAATACTGAAAACAATGTCAAAACTATCGCTGGTCCAGTGTTGCTATGGACCTTCAATAATTTGTTGGTCTTGTGATCCCTTGGTGTAATGCTTATCATTCTCCTTTCAATTGCTCTCTGATGTACTTGCAGCTTATTTAGGATTTTTTTTTTGTGAGAGTCCATGTTTCGCTTTCATAGGCAACTACTGGCAGAAAACATTCGTTGTAGACTTCAGTTTTCAGCTTCAAAAGTACTTTAGACCGGTTTCACCTGTTGGTTATCTATGGTTATTGTGTCCCTGTTTGCTCATTTGTCATAATCTCTGTTTTCGATATGTTCATTTCTAATCCGATCTTCTTGAATTCTCCTTTCAACATGTTCTCTAAGTCTGTTTCGCTCGGTTCGAATATTACGATGTCATCAGCGAATCTAATGGCGTTTCCGATTGGTAGATTCAGTACGCACTGAGTGTATCTGCATCCTTTTAATCGACTTGTAGAAAAAAAAGACAGAAATAGAAAAAATTGCACCAGTTTTGCGCTAGATCTACCAATCGGAAACGCCATTTAATTATTGAGATTTTCTCCAGATATATTGATCCCTCTATTTTCCTAACGTAGTTCTTTGAACACATCTCCGAGGACTAGGGTGAACTGCTAAGGTGATATTTTATCGCCTTGTTTTACGCCTCTTTTGTTCTTCACTTAGTTTGTATCTTCATGCATTCTTAATTTAATTTTTGTTGCTTCTTGAATATTTTTGATTATGTTTATCGCTGATCCATTTGTGCATTTATTTGTATCGCCGACCCGACAGTTTCGAAGGCTCACCTGAAATCGATGAATGCTAGCCATGTACTGTTATATTTGGTCATCTTTTCATTTAACTGTTCTTATTGTGTAAATATGTTCTATAGTGCTGTAGCTCTTTATTCAGCCTGCTTGTTCTTTAGGTTGGTAAACATCGAATTTCCTTTCTAGGCGGTCGGTGATTATTCTCATAAAGAGTTTGTATATCTGAGACAGGTGGCTTATGAATCTATAGTGTTCAAGATTTGATGGGTCTCCTTTTTTGTATATCAGAACGACAATGGCAGTCTCCCCAGTCCTGGGGTATTTTCCCCTTTTGGAAAGTGTTTTCAGTTATTTTACAAGGTATATTGTCCTGCCTCCTTTAGCAGTTCTGGTAGTATATCGTGCAGTCCTGAGGCTTTTCCTTTTCGTTGTTTAATCGGCTTAATACTTTTGCAATTTCTTCCTCTTCCATATCAGGGCTGGAACCCTGAAACAAATAGAGATATTTTCACTATCTCTATTGACGTCTCCTCTCTATTTATTTCGACAAGAAAGGAGAAGACAGCAAGTGCCATAGCGATAGGGATAACGATCTCTTCCAACCCAGGAGTCTCTTCTGACCCTAAATTTAGAATTTTATGTTTCGCTTTCGGTTTCTTGTTTGCTTGTTGATTTTGAAAAATTCCTGAAGTTTCATTGGACTTTCGACAAATCTTTGGCTATGAACGTGGAATTTCAAAATATTCTCATAAAATTTTAGTGAATTCCGATGAATTTTTAAGAAATTACATGAAATGTCAATAAAATTCCGAAGAATTTTATAATAATCTTGTGGAATTCTAGGATATTTCAGTGGTGAAATTTTGGGGAATTTCAGTAAAGTTAAAAAAAAAATTATGGAATTTTGAAATTGAAATTTTAGTGGAATTCCGAGGAATTTCATGAAATCCTATACTGTAATTCCGAAAAAATGTTGTCTAAGAATTCCATAAGATCTTCTGGAACAATGTTAAGGAATTTCTATGGAATTACTTAAAATTTTCGCGGAATTCCTATGGAATAACTTGAAATTTTATTGGAATTCCGAAGAATTTCATGAAATTTCATAGTGTAATTTCGCGGAATTTTTGTTCAAGAATTCCATTGAATTTTATTGTGAAATTCCATGAAATCTTATGGTAAAATTTTTAGAAGTTTCCGTTTTTCCATTCAAATTTACCATTTGAATGGAATTTCGAGGAATTCCATAAATTCTTCTGGTGAAATTCTAAAGAATTTCTATGAAATTAACTAAAATTTTCACGGAATTCCCATCGAATAACTTGAAATTTAAATGGAATTCCGATGAATTTCATGAAATCTCATAGTGTAATTCCGAGGAATTTTTGTGCAAGAATTCCATAGAATCTTATGATGAAATTCGGAAAAGTATTATGAAATCTTATAGTAAAATGTCTAGGAATTTACATAAAATCTTTTGGTGAAATTCCAAAGAATTTCTATGGAATTGACTAAAATTTTCGCAGGATCACCATGGAATAACTTGAAATTTTAGTGGAATTCCGAAGAATTTCATGACATAATGTAATTCCGAAGGAAAAAAAATTCCAAGAATACCATTGAATTTTATGGTGTGAAATGTGACATAAAATTTTTGCGGAGTTTCCATAGAATTCACATTAAATTTCAATTTCTCGCGAACTACATGAAATTTTCAGAAATTACATGAAATTTCGATCGAATTACCATGAAATCCGGAATGAGTTGCATGGAGGAATCCTAAACAATTACATTGAATTACACCGAAATTCCCCAACATGAAATTTCAGTGCTCATTAAATTACATAAAGAATTTTCAAAAAGTTTCAAAAAATTACATGATTTCCGAGAAATTTTTGTCGAACTATACAGGGTGTCCCACGGTGGATGGCGTATTAGACGTTTATGGAGAACTAAAGAGCGAATCATTTTGAAAATTTGGCAACCGGGATAAACGACCATGATCTACACTTTAAAAATATTTTTGACCATGCGGTGTTGCCGCTTCTACTCTAAACTAGTGGCAACATCACTATTTTAAATGGAACACCCCGTATTTAATTGCATATTTGGATTCTACGTAAAATTCTGAGCAGATTTCATGTGATATACCCTATACCTAAGTTCAACTGTTTTGGAAATATTGACAGTTGAAAATTGACTTTTTGCAACTTTGACAGGCTGTAAAATCTAATTGGTTAATTTTAGAGGAAAACCGATTTCACATTCCTGTCTTAGATTTTGATAAACTATCATTTAACACCAACTTTGAACTTAACCAGAGATTAAATTTAACTGAAATTTTTAATCATGGATTTAATTCTAAGTTGGTGTCAAATGATAGTTTATAAAAATCTAAGATAGGAATGTAAAATCGGTTTTCCTCTAAAATTAACCGTTCAGGTTCTGCAGCCTGTCAAAGTTGCAAAAAGTCAATTTTCAACTGTCAATATTTCCAAAACAGTTGAACTTAGGTATAGGGTATATCACATGAAATCTGCTTAGAATTTTACGTAGAATCCAAATATGCAATTTAATATGGGGTGTTCCATTTAAAATAGTGATGTTGCCACTAGTTTAGAGTAGAAGTGGCAACACCGCATGGTCAAAAATATTTTTAAAGTGGAGATCATGGTCGTTTATCCCGGTTGCCAAATTTTCAAAATGATCCGCTTTTTAGTTCTCCATAAACGTCTAATACGCCATCCACCGTGGGACACCCTGTATAGAGCTCCGATGCAATTGCATGGAATTCTAAGGAACTGTCAGGGAATTACATAAAATTTAAGTGGAATTTTGAACAACTCCTATCGCTTCATAAGGAATTCCAATGAAATTCTGAAAGAAAAATCCTAATGTAATTACATGAAGTTTTATTTTTATTCCAAGGAATTCCCAGTTAAAAACATGGCATTTTAGTGAAATTTAAATTCCGAAAAATTCCCATCGAACTACTCGAATTACTGAATTTTAGTAAAATTAGAGATAATTTCACAAGTGGAATTCCGAGGAATTTCCAGCTAAAAACTTGGAATTTTGGTGAAATTTGGGAAAATTCCCATGTAATGATATGAAATTTCAATATATTTCGGAGGAATTTCGTTGAATTTTCAAGAAAT